TGTGAGATGTGGTAGGTGAGCGGTACCACATTACAAAAGTGCCCTTTTACCTTAGTTCAATAATTGAGGGTCAAAATAATAATTTGGAAATTAGATTCAAACTACATGGTTAGAAAAATTTACATACATACCACCCGATTCTTATGTATTTACATATCTGACACCTATACTTTATCTTTTTATGTTTACACCATCCAAGTGTTTCATATCACACAAAAAATTGCACAATATTTATCAGATTGGAGCTAATTTATAAATGGGAAGCTGGGAAGAGTCTAGCCTTCTAGAAAACATAGAGACATTTGTGAGCTTCCAACTAGTAGCTCACAGGTGTTGCTTTTTTTTTTTATTAATTTACCATCTTCCCTTAATTGTTCAAATTTACAGAGCTGGAATGAGCAAGAAAATAGATAGGCAGCCTCTTGTGAGAGTTAACTGAAGTTTGTGTAGCAGCTTGGAAGGCCAACGAGGTGTGTTTGTTGAGGCTTACGAATTTCAATTAAAAGTTAAAATGGTGGCATGTTATACCTGATAAGAAAGACTTGGGTGGCATCAGTGTAAACAGAAAAGTTTGTAAAGTAAATTATGTTTGAGATAATAGTCAAGTGGAGGCCTGATGTTTCCATGATGAGAAAGAAAATGAAAAAATGAAAGTAAGAAAAGACATAAAATAGAAACTATAATACTGCATTGCCATGCTCTTAATGCAATTATCATGTTTGGCCCGATTTGTTATGACTATACATATATGGAGAATTCTCCTTTATGCAGATCTGAAATGGCTTGAATGTAGTTCCTGCTATTTGAGATTGTGTTTGCTTCTTTAATTTTCGTTTGCTTCAGTAATTTCTGTTTGCTCATTGCGTATATTGGTAATCTTTGTCCTTCTAACTTGTCAAAACATTGGATAACTTGTCAAAACATTGGATTTGTCAAAACATTGGATGGTCATAATATTCTTGTTATGCAGCTGAGGCTCATTTTGATGATATGGCTTTCATTAAATGGTTTATGGTTATACATATATGGAGAATTCTCATTTTGTGGTATCATTTGCTTAGGCTTTTATTATTATATGTTTTAAAAGGTCATATTATGATAGCTAATTAGATTTATCATAATTTTGGGGTCTTATTATACTCCATATTAGAATGTGAATGTGCATTTTACTTTTGTATGCGTAACTTTGCTCGTTTGATGTGATCAGATATATTTGAGTTAATAAATGTAACTCCACTTTTTTTGTATTTTCTTGTCTGAGCATTTGATCTTTAATTTTAATGAGAAAATAACAAATTCTACTATACAGATTATTCATTCAACTAAAAAAAATTGCAAATAAGCTGTTTACAAAACGCACAAACCAAACAGCTTATCCAGAACAGGGTCTGTTTGATCATTTTTCCAGAATCAATTGTTCTTTAAACGCACAAACCAAACCGACAGACAACTTATCCAGATCAGCTGTTTATCACTAGATTATCAGGATAAGCTGGATAAACTGCAGCTGCCCCAAACAGACCCTTAGTGTTATTCAAAATCGTTATTTCAGTAAAAGAGAGCCGAGCAACTCCTTTTTGCAAATTCTTCTTCGCAAAAATAACATATTCCATCAATGATTCACAAATAAGGTACATTAAACAAGAAATGAACCAATCTGGATAAGAGTGAGCAAAATGAAAAGAAAATTTGTCATGCCTATAATAATTAGTAATGTTTTTTTTTTCCCTGCTATGTGCCAGCCGAAGGCTGATTTAAAATAGAAGCATCTCGTTTAAACAATTTCTGTTAAGCTGCTTCATGAAAATTTCCTTTTGTTATGAAGTTTTGAAATTAGTTCATAAATCAGACTTTAGATGAAAAGAAAAGCTTACACAAACAAGCACATATAAGTGACTTCATTGCGGGTTTGTTCGAGGCCTTTGGGCAGTATAATTTGAGCATTTCTGGAAGAAATTATGATTTACATGAGGAGACTATAACTAAGTTACAGCAAGACCTTTTCCTTATGCATAACTTCAAAACCTAACAACTCAACACTTTTGATAAAATCCATTCCACATTATCACACTAGAAACCAAAATATGCAACAATTACAAATTTGGGTATGAATAATGCAAGATAAGAATGACAAAAAAAAATAAAAAATCATTTATTTATTTCTTATGGACCCTGATGACTCTGATATTCTTTTGTCCACCGCATTTCCTTTTTCCTGAAATACAAAAAAGCTTGTTAAGTTTTCTGCCTTCCCCCAGTTATAAATAATCATAGCAAAAAACTACAGCTACAGACACCAAAAGAAGAATATGCATACAACGCTCACTATCATTTTGTAACAAATAAATTTCTCTTTTTTTCAGCTCCTCACAAAGTAAAAACTATAACAGCAACAGATACTAAAACAAAAACATGTAAGCATTCAAAATCACTTTCTAGCATATAAATTTCCAATTTAAATTACATTAATAATAAAGCATTAAAAGTTCAAAATTTTGGAAAACCTGTAATGTTGTAGCTGCGAATTTTAAGAAAGTAAGAACCAAAAAAAAAAAAAAATGCAACGTGTGATTGGAAAAGAATGTGTATCTTTTAATTTGTTGATCTAAAGTAGTCTAAGAGTTTAGGAAGATCTATTTGGATGTGGTTGGTAATTCTGTAAATAAAATTTCTGCCTTATTAAGACCTACACAGTTCAGACATGTATCTTTTACATTAATTAGTCACAATTTGTTTTTAGGTATCTTCACCTTAAACATACTTACAATTTTAGATATATATGATAATTTTATTGGCATGTTTTCAGATTGGATGAGAGTTCATGGCATTACTTGCTTTCCTTTTTTATTCCTCTAAGTGTTATACTTCTTTAGAGATACCTCCATCGGAAG